AAAACAGGCCCTTTCCTATGTCGTCTGAAATCGAACCTCATTAAATAACAGTCTCTTGTATGAGGTAGATCGATACGTTAGGTATTTCGTTTTCTACATATAGATATTGAAGCAACAAATACTGTCAAATTATGAGATAATACTATTACATCATATATACATCGGAGTTAATTTGCTTATTTTAATCGATGCTATAACAGCAGTGTGTTTGTAGTGGACATTTTGCTATCAACACCGTTTTGAGGATTTTTTAATCACAACAGTAAACACACCATTTACTGTTTCTTTTTTCACTTAGTGTAACTGCAACACGTGCTACACAAACTGGGCAATAGAAGTGTCACCCCCACTGAATCAATACTTTGGGGGAGATAAATGGCTGTGGAATGATATATATGCTACTGGTATCATTTTATTAACATCAAATTTCACAAAAAGACCGACAATACAATCCCATGGTACAGCAGTTTTAGACCCCATTCCCATAGATTTTAGATCGATCTATCCCTGTGGGGAGTCTCACTGTCCCGCCTACTAAAAGCTGTAAGGGGGTAATTAACTATGGTGCCCGCTCGGCTGACTGCAATTAAGCGTGAACCCCCAGGGAGTTAGGTCGATCTAAATCTAAATCTCTGGATCGATCTAAATCTCTGTGAATGCACCCTTATACTCATTAGTCACATTATAAGTAAACCAGGCATTATAACTACTCAAGATCTACCTACTTTGCATACTCTGATTCAGGGGGTGACACTTCTATTGTCCATTGTGTTACATGTAGGTAAAAGTAATGTGAACAGGGAGATTTGTTCACATGTCACATGGCTTGTCCTATATATTTCAACTCCCGCCCTGTTACGGGACATTTCATTCAGTTCAGCGTCACGGTCTCCGCGGACCATATTGTTTTACGTTTCCATAAGTTTTCATATGTTTTAATCAGTTTTTTTTTCCCAGTTTTCATGAGTTTACATCATTTTACTAACTTTCGAAATTTATTGAAATACAATCTATGAACTTCAAAAACATTTTATAAAGTTTTCACGGACGTAAAGGTTGCGGTACGGTCACAGCAACACTTAGAATTGTGCAAGCAAAGTGCTCGCATTTTCCTCTGATGAATATTCAGTTTAGAGGTACATGAACAATGAAAAAACTAGAAAAGCACTCCGAGAGCGCAGACCTCCGCCAAGGCAGCACTTTTTGTTTATTATTGATTATTGATTGATTATTGATCCAGATCATACCAAAAACTAATCATCTGTTCCTTGGCCCACTTCTGACAGTTCCTGAAAATTTCATCAAAATCGGTCCATAACTTTTTGAGTTATGTTGATGACAGACAGACAAACAAACAAACAGGGGTGAAAACATAATCTCTTTGGCGGAGGTAAAAATTGAAAATTTGACTTACCAAGAACTGTCAAAGTAATGAACAGCAGCCTTCGCAACATCACACGCAATTCCACAGCAAGAGAATTACCTTTAGAAATGTCCTACATCAACAGCTCCTGAAGCGGGACTGATGATACAAAAAAAAAAAAAAAAAAAAAAAAACGTGGATGGAGTGGATCATTAGACGCTACCTTACTTCTGTATCACATTCAGTGTAAATAGTGAAATAATATTACGCCATTTTTTTAATTGTACAGTCTGAAATCGAATGTACTTAACCGCTTTCACATACTTGATATAACTCAGGTGTCTATTCATTCACTGGATATCATATTTAAATAAATGTGTGCTGACGTTTGTTTTGTACGTAATCTGAGAAAACTTCTTTGACCAAATATCAATTAATGGTCGATCACAGCTGGATTATAATGCTTTGCTTTTGCTAATAAAACAAGGAGAAATATTATCTGTATATCTGTTGGGCCACATAATGATAATTATTCGTTTTCATCCCTTATGTGTATGTGTGTGTTTTATTTATGTTTTACTAATAAAAATAATATACAACATAATAAATTGAAGAAATACATGGCAGTTCGTCTCTGCAGGTAACAGTGCTGTTCTTCTTTATGGCCGTGTTGCTTTCAGATACATGAGAGGGTTTTGATAGTACCGGGTCTGCTCTGCACCCTGTTTTACGGAACGGCGAAATACAGAATTTTCTCATACCGAAGGATGCTATGATTTTAACCAATGGATGTACGTTCTCAAAAGACTATCTGTGTCGATTACCTGATTCATTTATTTATTATTATTATTATTATTATATTTTTTTTTTTACAACCAAGCATGATCATTTATATTCAATGCGTTAGGATATTTAAGAACGTTTCAATCATGTCGAACATTCCGGTTGTCATACAGTTTATGGGATGCCGTGGCACGTGTGGCAGAACATATATATACAGGGTTACCACTTAATATTAAGTAGCAACCCTGTAAATGATTCATTTCACCTTCACGCCAACATGACTTGAAAAAAGTAAATAAATATAAACAACGAATGGAATACAATGTAAACAACACAAGACAGAGGTGCTTATCTTTTTGAATGAACAATTAATTTTGTCTTTCCCTGAAATTTGTGTACATGGATATGCAAAGCAATGTACTAGAATGGTTTTATAAATTTATCTGTCATTTCTGGCAAGGGTCTTGGCTCCCTTAATATCCTCCCCTAGGTCCCGCATTTGCCCCCCCCCCCCTGCTTGGTGGCGCCCTCTACACGCGCTGCTGTTTTTCACCTGGCAGATCAGAAGCCAGATGTGTTATGGGTGAGTCAGCCCAATATCTTGTTGCTGTTTAGTTTTCATTATTGTTTGTAAGCCTTTTTTAGAGCCACCTGTATGAATGCTGGGTTATGAATGATTGTGTGAGTACTCGTAATTTAATTTGATTTTTATTATTACATGCTATTATAATCTACTATATTTCTTTGTTTATTCGAGAAATTTCTAGTGTATATACATGTACCCCTTGGAACCGAAGTTCGGGCTCCCATATGCGTAGTGCAGGTTAGGGTTAGTCGGAATATTGGGGTTAGACAATAGGACGAAAGTCATCTGAACAAAGTAATGTGAATCAAGCTACGGTTTCTAGGGGACTAACAATACTATCCCACCGCCTGTACGTTTTTGGACAATATGTTTTTAATTGATTACCACAAGCATTATGCAAAAATTCTAAAGGCCAAACTTTTTGTGTCCCATGTAAAAACCACAATAATTTCCGCTAATCCCAGCCCTGTACCGATCCAGTGAGACCCTGAGCTTCCGTTTCTTGCGCTTCCATCAATTCCAATCTGTCACTACTGAAATTCTCCAATGTATTATGCCACGTATAAAAAACACACTAGGTAATCAACAAGACGGCAGTGGTCTCCAACTCATGAACTCTTGTTGACGTGGAATACTGTAATAACGAACTAATTATCCCAATAAACGTGACTGTTACACAGCATGTCCTACCGTGACATTTATTATTCTTCTTTGCCAGTTCTCAGTGCACGCTACTCCAGTGTACACCTCAAGACTTATGCAAGTCCGCCGACATGTTTCGTTAATTTTTTGCTCAGCAGCAGTAAGTATATCTTCTACAAAATACGAGAGTTGTATAAATCACCAAGATAACGCACAACTTCAAATCCATGCCAGCGATTAACATTATTCTAAAATATCTTCATTATTGTCATGCCTCCTAAACCACCAAAGTTGTAAGGGAAAAACCATCACCATCACCACTCTCACTCCAAGTACACCGAACAATGCCCGTACGGAAACTATGCACTACCATCTATGATAATGCGACGACCGCGGTCGTGTAAATTTTAAGCATGACAAAATTGTAAAGCCTAAGGTGGTCGTAAATCTACACGATTTCGCACGGCGCCACGCATGCGTGATTATACTTTCACAATCAAAAAGTAAACATTTATGACGTTGATAAAGTTATAGGTTGGACGATTACATTCGGCATTTAGGCATCAGTAGACGTGATTCCAATGGCGCTAGGGACAGCTTTCCAAATCAAAACAAAAACTGTCAGTATGAATTGTACGTTTAATTTCTTCTACCAAGACTTTGAGAATACGTGTGCTTGGATGTCTTTTAAGTAGCGTTTTTAACTACTTTGCGTTATTTTCGTCCTTCTTCTTAGGGAGTATAGTGAAAGGAAAATCCTTTAAATCTGACCAGAGCACTACATCTCAATGCTTATGATAAATAAAAGTAGACTGCAGTACTGATATGTCAGGAGTCTTCCCGAGACTTATGCAAGACCGCCGCCATGTTTCGATATTTTTTTGCTCAGCAGCAGTAAATGTTGTCAGAATAAGGAGATACACAACTTCAAATTCAAGCCAGTGAAACATCTTTATTATTGTTATACCAGTAATTAACATTCGGTTAATAACATTTTGGGACATCAGCCGGAACATGTACAAAAAACTAAGACGGTCATGCAGGGGGGTATCTGTGTGAAATTAGTTATTGAAAAATAGGGCCTACACATTCAACCCTCCGCTCACCCCAAACATATACAGATCTCATGGGACCTTGACCTTCCGTTTCTTGTGCTACCATCCCTCCTACCAGCTTGTGCACAGGTCATATACATTGTACGGACAGATATTAGTGTTTTTCCAGAGTACATGTATGTCTTTTCGTTACATAAATGACCAATGGCGTATGTAGGGTAATGAAGTCGCTTTCCAATTATAGTCGCTACTGAAATTCGCCATGCAGTGCTTTACTGTCAAATATAAAAAACACACTAAAGGTAATCAACAAGACGGCAGTGGTCTCCAAATCATGAACTCTTGCTGGAATACGTGGAATACACAAAATAACGAACTAATTATCCCGATAAACGTGACAGTTACAACGGCATGTCCTACTGTGACTCTTATTACTTCTGTTTGAGAGCTCTGAATGCACGCTACTCAAGTGTAGATCTCAAGGCATATGCAAGGCCGCCGGTATGATTAATTCTATTTCAGCGGCAGAAAGTGTTCTCTTCAAAGAAGGGCGGGAGAGGTATAAATTGCAAGCAAACGCTGATCTGCGTCAGTTCGTATTCCAATGCATCAGAAATTTAGTATTCAGAAACATGATGATCATCAGCCTCACATTATGTGCGCTGATATTTGTTCAGCCGACGACTGTCATGATTTCGTTTGCCCAAGAAAATGGCCAATCTGCCGGATTAACACAAAAGTCGCCCAATATAGAGATTTGGACGCTTGCGGGATTCACGAAGGAGACATCACATCTTAGAGATGGAAGCCAAGAGATAACTACGGAAAAACCGACCAGTGGGATGCACGGAGACGTCACACAACAGTCGCCAACTACTGAGGGTGTAATGCACACGGGCGTAACACCACAGTTGCCAAATATTGAGGATGAAATACAGGTGGAAGTCACTGCAGCGTCAACCAGTCAAGACAATTTATTACAGGGAAGGTCAAACAACAGCAATGAAACCTCTAATTCCTCAGACGTGACTCTCACGCCGTATAAATGGACCTGTGCAATATCTAAGGGACTTCATGTCACCTTTAAGGTCCACTGCAACTGTGACGGCCAATGCCATCTGTATAATGACTGTTGTTATGGGATGACTGAAAATACGACGTTGTGCTCTGCCTCGGCCAGAATAACCAGTGTGCACAGTACCTCACTTCCTTTAACGCTTCCTGCACCCAACTTTACAGAAACTCAAAGTAACAGTACCACATCGACTGCATCACCTAACGATCCATCCCACTGGATAAGGGAGAAAAAGCAAGTCGATTCTTTGACCATTTCCCTGGCACTTAAAAGCTCCTGTAGAGCCATTCCAAAAATATCTCAGGCGCACCAAACAATGTTACCATACATGGATAGGTTTGGATTGCGGTATTGGATGGTGAACCAGTGTCCGTCGTCTTGGCTGGAAGAGGAAAGTCTAATCAAGTGCAGTGATATTACAAATACTAGCCTCGCAGAGGACGTGCTGTTGTACCAGCCAGTCACCGACCCAGATACAATGCTCACTTTCAAGAACAAGTACTGTGCAGCATGTAACGGTGTCAAGAACGGCGGGGAACCGTGGGAACTTGTTGTCTATTGCTCTAGGGCACTAGTTGACTACTTAGAAGGCTGCAGCAGCTCTGCTTGCGTTTTAAGAAAATTGAAGGATTTCGGATGTAATAGTATTTTCGAGCCGAAACCGGACTGGAATTTAAGAACATGTTTCCGGGAAGTTGAGGACAAAGACTTTGGTCCTTGTGTGAACAATCTGAACAATGGAAGCGTGCAGGCTGTACCTCGGCCACGCCCCCTGCACTCAGCCTTAAGAGATGCCTGCATGGCGTACAACAACCCCTTTGTCATTAAGGGTGCTGATAACAGTTACAAGAACTACCACTGCATGGTGTGTTATCGAGGTGATTATAGGCCCTGCGGTGAGTGGTGCGTTTAACTATATGTTAAAAACTTCTAATGTAAAAATTTCAGAATCGCGCATTAATGGCATTAATAATTATTAGGCCTATATAGTTTACTTGTCTCCATCGTAATGTCAGGGTTTTTAAAACCTCCAGAATAAAATAGAAGTTCAGTTTTCTCGGGATAACATTTTTGTTTACTTTAGTCGTGAATTTGATATATGTTACATGAATAAGTGGTACAGTTTGATTACGTCTAGTATAAGGAAGAAACTGCACACATGTTGATTTTCTGCCAAGGTCCGTTTAGAGTGCACTGTATGATTTCATTAGATTTATGTGTCTGGAAAAATAACATAACTGGAGATAGGTGTAATTTCAAATTACTTTCCATTTATGATCCGGAAAATTTGTACGGAAGATCTAACATAAATTATTGGAAAAATTACGTTTGTTATGGAAATATATCATGAAACTCATTAGCAGTCCAATTTAAGGCATATTAGATTTGCACCTTGAAATTAAGCGTCACAGTAATTATTACACTTGAATCATTTCCAATAGTATAAAAGCAGTAAGTGTTAAGATAGGAAATTCTGAAATGGAATCAAGTAATAGGTCACTATAGATGACAGGTTCTTTTTAAATTTTGTAGTCACTTATCTGAAATCTACAAAACCTGATTTTACCCCTAGAAAAAGATCACATTTGTGCAGAAGTGGAACAGTGACAAATAATTAAGTTCAGTGGAAGATATCATAAGCTATTCGAATGTGTTTTGTAAGTCCGGGCTATATTGTACTGTTGTTGAGTCACCTTGATAAAGAGTCTCGATAGGAATTTCGCGTTTGATTTCAACTACCCCCCCCCCAAAAAAAAAATAAATAAATAAATAAATAAATTAGGTGAATTACATGTTGTTGGTTTATAATAGTGAATTAAAATGTTTTATTCAGATCAGCATTTCACACGGCCACCTGCCAGAGAACTGAGTCTTTCTTTCCGCGCCCTATTGTACCTGGGAGACCAAGACAGAAAACAGAATGATGACGTAAGGACTAGGTCGAGAACAACGAAGTACAATAATCATAAATGATGAGGATGATAATAAAACTGGATATTGAAAAAAGCTAAATATAATTTTCTTCATTAATTCTTTCTCGCATTTGTCATGTTAATATTTTGATGAAATAATGAGCAGTCCCCCCCCCCCCCAGTTTTATTGTTGTACATTGTCATCCTAAACTATAAATCGAATAATCATGCATTTAGTCTGCACACGCGTCTTTTTTCCAGCCTGTAGATCAGCAGCTAGTGTGCCCCCCTGGATTTGCTCCTGATGCCCAGGACTGCCGCCCCCTTATGTACAATTTCACAGTGGTGCGGTCGCCCGTTCCCTTACATTTTGAACCGTGTGGCTGGGCTCCAACACCAAGAGATGGCTGTAGAGATATCAAACGTGATGGTCGATTGGTAGCTGTACTGAGAGCGGTGCCGGCACTTTTTTATACTTGTAGCCAGAATTACGGCGCGGATAACACGTCTATCACCTTTGTCGTGAAAGCATTGGTCACTCTTCGCGTGAAACTGGCCCATTTAGAGGAAGGTCGTAACATCTTCGACCAAGTGCAAGCATGGATGGAAAATGCTCTGAAGAACATGCAGTTGAAGATATCCGGAGGGCCATTGGGTATACGTTCAGGATCGTTCTCTGCCTGCATGAAGAACGTCACAAACCACGACTCCGTGCCGCCATTTTATGGAGCGACCACGCTGTCAACCCCGAAGCAGAACCGAGGAAACAGTCCTGTCGGTAACGTTACACTTTTGATGTTAATGGCGCTGGTGGTAGCGGTGAGGTATTTTTAGCTATGGGCAAGAGCGAAAGATATAGGATTTGGCACTACTGCCGATTGGGATAATCAATCAATACATGGATATGTTATGTTTATTATTGTTGTTAAGTAATTTTACGTTTCAATTATTGTTGAGTTTTAAAAGCAGTCACAGTTTACTATCTATCAAAATTTATCTCATAAACTCCGCCAAAAAGACTTTATATTTCCCTTGCTATATAACAGAATAACTCAAAAATTATGGGCACATTTTGATAATCTTTTCAGGATAAGTAAGAATGGACCAAAGTAGAAGCGTTTAGATTTTGGTGGCGATTCTTTATTTGATAATAATTAATAATTGGGCTGTCTTGGTGAAGCGCACTCTCTTAGTCTTTTCTAGTATGGGTTATCAAGATGCTCTATTCTGTATTCAGTTTGGATAATTAATCCCTGCACGCAGCAGACTGTTCTCAGACTGTTCTCTGAGTGTTCTCTGTTACAAGTAGAGGCCAACAGAGTGGTTACCATGTAATAGCCCCTACATGAAGTTTTTATGGACAGTGCGGGAAAGTGCACATACATGTACCTGTATATGCCGCTGGGGTGGATTGAGGTCGTCTTCTGGGTCTTCCGGAAGACTGTCAGATATTTAAGTTTACATTGACGGGTATCGATTTTTTTTCTGTCAGAAGATGGTCAAAAATGGAGGATGGATCAACAAAGATTATTGAAAATCTAGTGAAAAATCAATTTGTGGTCCTGGCAGAGGGTACCATATTAGCTTTAGTTCACTTTTTGATTCACTGTGTAAACGGTAGCAGGTTTTGTGGTCCATGTTTGGTAGCGTACATTTAGTCGGTTGATCTTTGCGAGGAAATTAGTTATAGCAAACATTTTCTTAATCGAAGTACAGCTAGGCCAATAAGACCGTTCACAGTAGGCCACGGTCAGTGCGACCGTGACTCCCGATAACCCCCGCGTGGATAATAACAGGGCAAATAGCGACAGTTTAAGCCGTTAAGTTATCAATCGTAACCATCTTGGACTCCCCGCTGTCTACATCGTGTCCCGTCAAGCAGCCTGTGCAATCATACGCCCCGCTAGTTCCAAGCATTGTTCTGGTATAGAAAGGCACGTGCCTTTTGTTAAGACATGGAAGACTAAATGTTGGGTTTAACCATGGTTCAAGCACTGACGATATTTCTGTTTATTCACCGCATTCCGAACTTCGTAGACATTTTCAAAAATAGAATTTTGTAATTGAATGAAATATAATTAATTTACCGATGTTGCCCTTTCATCTTAATTTTGGCTTACTTAGGTGAAACGATAAGAGTCACGATAACATGCTCAAGCCAATTGAAAAAGTGAAGTATGAATATGGCAGAATTATGCGGTGATTGTCTTTTTCAATGAAGTGGAATGT